CGCTTCTTCCTGCTCTTAAAAGTTGCGTTACTCAGTCTAATATTATTAAAAAGGGTTCTCACTTTACATCGCCTTTGCTTTCTTGGCTTCTCTCTGCGCTTTGCAGTTTTGCTCCACTACGCATAGTTTTTCTATTTGTTATGCTTCTCGCTTCAATGACTTCTCGCATGACACTAGCGTTCGCTGCGTTTCCGTATTCACTTCTCTCTTCGCTAGCAATGGCTACGCTTCTCGCTTCTTATTCCGTTACTTTCTTCAATACAATACTTTGCTTCTCGCTGCAATATTTATTTAGAAATGCGAGAAGTCGTCGGGTGGTCCTAAAAGCCATACAACAAGACGAATAAAATTGAAATATTGTCGCAACACCCAAAGCTGTTGGGTCTCACACGAGAGCTGAATGGAGCTCAGAGGGCGGCTCATTACATGTCACGAGTTGTCTGGGGCGCTTAGCGGATTTTGTGACAGGCGAGTGGCAGCAACAGCGCGCTGGCTCGACCGCCACTTCGCCCTCTGCGCTCATGTCAAACCAATCACTTGTAATGCGGCTCATGTCGCAAGCTGTGAGCTGTGAGCTGAATCTAACTCGAGCCACATCGATTTTTTATGGCGCAAAGACAAAAGTTATTAGCAGCAAGTGACATTAAGTGACAGCAGGAGCAGCGGCAGCAGCAACAGCAGCAAAAGCAGCTGGCGATGCATGCCTCCGAAATCGTAAGTCGAGGCAGCTGCCACAAGGTGTGGCATAAATGTAATAGTGCCACGCGAAATGAAAGCGCTTTTCATTACGTTTTATATGGACAGAATAATTTATTTTAGATAAGCGCAGCAAAAAGTGGACGGGTGTGGGAATAACGGAAAAAACATGACTTAAGGAGTAAGGAAAGAAGCACTGCAAAAAGTTAAGTAAGAAGCAAACAGAGAAGTCAGCCAAAAAGTGTCCAAGAAATAAGTGACAGATATGGGCTAAAGTATAACTGGCAGAGAGTAAAGTATTAGAAGCAAAGCGTTAAGCAGAGAAGTTAAGCGAAAAGCGAGGTGGGAAGTATTAAAGTTTCAAGCATTTCTTATGCTCTCTTTTATTAGAAGCGAGCTATGGAAGGCGGGAAGTGGGACGCTAAATGAGAAGTACACACCCTTAAATTATGAAGTCAATTCAGTAATAATAATCATGAGCAGGAAGAAGCGTATCCATGAAGAGGAGTACATAAGAAATATGAGAGAAGCAAGATCTGAAGAGAAGGTAAGGACACATAAGCAAAAGAAGTTATTTACAAAGTTAAGTGAGAAGAGTAGCAAGAGCCAAAGCGAGAAGCGTTCCGTCGACCAAAATCTCCCTTATAAATACTAAGTAAGAAGCATAGCGAAGAAAATAGCTTATGCTTGAAGCTCCGATTTCTAGTTAACTTATCATAATGTAAAAAAGGTTTCTCTCTGCCCTCCCGACTACATTATAGAACATTACCATCACGTTTTACGCTTTGCCTCTCTTTACAGCTCACTGGGCTGCGATTAGATTGATTCAGATTTAGAGAAGTTTCGTGCAGCTGCCCAATAAATGTTACTAAATGTCAACAATGAAATACGCCCCAATGTTGCGTTGTGCTTCGCTGCGCCATACTTGGCGTATACTTAATAATATTATAATAAATGCGCGCAGTTGCAGCCCAGCGTTTGGGTCGGCTGCATAAACTGACGTTTTATTTGGCACACAACATTTTAGCTTATTTCGCTCTATGTGTGTGTGCTTGTTTGTGTGCGTGTGTGTGTGTGTGCAACTGTGCAGCACCATAACTGGCAACATAACGGGCATTGTGCGCTGTGGCTATGGCTGTGGCTGCGGCTCGGTGCCACTCGGTGCAGAACAGCAAATGAAACTGGCTAAAAATGAAAACAAATAGAAATTTATTGCCTGGAATTTATGACAATTTACTTTTGGCCCTTTATGCAGCGTCCTCTTTTGGTTTAAGGAACACAAAAAAAAAATGCCGTATCGCCTGAGCAAATCTTCAGTGGGTTTTTGTATATTTAGCTATGCATTAAAAAGCGCTCAAAGTGGCTGTTAGATGGAGAATATCATGCAGTTTTAAGCTTTAAGTGAGCTTAATTGTATGCGTGGGGCATATTAAAGCTTAAAGCTTGAGGCTTAATGCGCTTTCAAAGCTGTGAGCTGGGAATAAAATTATGCGAGCGTGCATTAGCTGAAGTTGACATTGGGGCTGTACTATAATTGCAGCTTTAAGTATGCTTATTAATATTAAAGCTCATGTCTCTTAATCTACTTTAACTGGTCAGCTTATTTGGTAAATGAATTAGCTGGGAGCTCAGGTTGAGGCCTTAAGAGATGATATCATCTTTTTTAAAAATGTCAACCAATTTCAAATTCCAAAAGACTTATACAACACTTTCTTTAAGCTCCTGTTTATTTTAAGCTTTTCTAAACATATTAATTTGCAGTGATCTTCAATAACTGTTTAGAGCTTGTCTTGAAAGCGCGTTTTCTATCTATCTATTATCTAAAAGGCTTAATATTTGGCTGCTGCACAACACTGTTTTAGTGCCCCGTCAAAGTTGAGTTTATAAAACCGTAATTTAGCTTAATTGTTTGCCTATGAAGTGTGACCAATGCTTTCACTGTTTATTTCTGCATCCAATTAAAGTTCTCTTTGTGAATTTAGTTTGATAAACTTTTTAAACGTTTGGTTAAATTTTTTAGCAAAAAATAAGTTTTGGCCAAGCGCAAACTGCAACCGAGAACAAAAACAATAAAAAGCATTTGTTGGCACATGTTCAAAACAAATTCTAACGCTTTGCTGCTTCTTGCTTTTTATATTTTGCGCAGTGTTTGTATAATTTCTTTTTTGTCTTATGCTTTAGCCGTTGGCACTTGCGCCAACTGCCTGACTGCCACACACGCTGTCTGCCGCACACAGCGCCCGCCGCTTGCAACACTTAAAATGTATTTTGCTTTTGCTTTTTGGCCCGGCTCTTGGCTCGCTCAAGCTGCCAGCGTTGCCCACACAATCTGCCCCGGCGCTCACACTTCACCCCCTTGCTATCTGCCACATCTCTGCATACTTTGCTGCCTCTGTTGCAACATGTGCAACCCCCTGTTCACGCTCTTTGCCAGCGTCTGCTTCTAATTCGATTAAAATGTTGTAAATTATTGCACTCACATGGCCAGCTTTGCATTACTAATGCAAGTGCGAATGCATGAGTGTGTGTGTAAGTATGTGCGACTTGGCAATATTACGTAATGCTTTATTGAATTCGCCATTTCGAGTGCTGCCTGTGGAAATGTGTTTTCAATGAACGTTTTGTGCGTTTTTTCTTTGTTTTCCCTACTTTTTTTATTTTTATTTTAGTGCAGCATGAAAAATGTCCTCGGCGCACATAAATCTTGCTAAATTCCCGGCCATGTCCTGGCTGCGGTTTGAATTTGAATTCCAAATGCACAAAAGTCGGCGGCAGAGCAAATGATGTTGAAAAATGAATGCGTAAATGATCGTAACTTGAGAAAAAATGACATTAAAAGCTTGCCTAAGGGGCGGGGCGTTTGTTCTTAGGGGTAGCGGTAGGGGGTAGGGGTAGGGATTCGCTTAAGGGTAGCTGTTATTAGGACGGTGCGTGTGGCAAAGACAGGCAACTGCATAATGTATGGCCATACATTTAGTCATTTGGCCAACTGACGCATGCCACATGGGGCATATCAAAATTGTTGCTCGCCAGGCAGGTACGCAGGCAACTCTGAAGCCACAGCTGGGAGGCAGCAATCAAATGTGGCAATTTAATTTATTGTTTATTTTTCCCAAAAACCAAATGAGGGCAAAGGGCCACAGGCCATCACGTTGCAGGCGGCCTGGCAGCGTGCGGCAGAGTCGTTGGAGCTGCTGCTGCGACCATCAAGGAGCGGCAGACTAGCGAGAGGTGGAGCGCAGCAGTTGGAGCACGACAAGCAAACGTAATTGGAGACGGGCAGCTGAAGTAGTCAGGGCAAAGGAGAAGGGGAAAAACTGTTGAAGCGGAGCAGTTGTGGCAGTTGCAGGGCAGCTGCTTAGGAATTGCGAACTCAAGAAGGATAGAGTCTTCAGCACGCCGAAGATTCAAGACGCTTGTAGTTATAATAAACTTAAAAAAAAACTTGCTTATTCTGATATAGTACTCCGATTTTGCTTATACTTAGCATTTCAAAAAGTTGTTCTTAGAAGAGCTTAACTTGCGATCGATTATTGCTTTGGCAACTATAAGATATAGCGTTTCGATCAGGCCAATACCGATATATTATATGACGATCATTTTAAGGCCGAGAGACTAGTTTGCATATAAACAGGGAGGCAGACATGGCTTTATAGACGCGTCTTTTGATATTGATTGGGAATATATACAAATACATATGCTTTGGAATCGGAAATGTCTTCTTTTATGCATAACACATTCAATAGTAAATCATATTACCCACTAGAAGGGTTTTGAAAAGGAGCAGCGAAGGAAAAAAAGCAGCTAAGGCTAATAAGGAAACGGAGAAAGAGGAACGCAATACGGAGCAGCAATGGCATGAGAATGCTGGAAAATTTAGTAGCCTGAGAGGTAGGAGAGAAGTAGAGTCAAGGCAACAGGAATAGCTAACCAAGACGGAAGCAATCGAATTGTGCGAGTCGGAGGCGAAGCAGCTGTCCAAAGTTCAAACGAGCAGCATGGGGCAAACGGGCAGCAGTTGAAGGAATCGCAGTGGCACAAACGCGAAGCATCAGTTGGTGCCCCAAAACGCTGGTAAATAAATAATTTTTGTCTCTGAGAACCCTTCAGTTATGTCCCGAACTGGCGGAGGGGGCGGTGGCGGCTGCTGCTCTTGGCAAACAGACAAAATTGAAATTAATGACTGACTGCGGCTCGTTGTACGCATGTAAATTGTGTGTACCCCACGGCACGTCAATGATGCGTGCCTGGGCAAATCAAAGCAAATCACAGGACAACCCTCTGCCCTTGCGGCACAAACTTACCCAAAGAATGCTGCATGCCTCGACTCGTAGCTCCAGTGTGGGAGCGGCAACGTCTTTATGTGTCCCTCGTGTGGTAAGTCAAATTGCGGCAGAGGCAGCTGATTATTGTTATTATTATTATTAACATTATTGCTGCATACTCTTCTGTCAGCGGGCGCTCGCCTTTGTGTCCTTCAACAAAACAACATAAAACGAATTCATTAAATTTATTGCGGAAATTAGTACAAAAAAAATGTTCTTTTGCTGCTGCGGTTGCAGCTTGAAATGCCAATCAACTTAATTAAAAACAAATAAATATGTAATTTTAATTAAAAATCAATCACAACGCTGCTTGCAATTGACATTTCTATGGCGCGAATTTAATTTAAATGCAACAAAATGCGATTAAAACATGCGATTAAGTGCCTTCCGGCAGTCGAGCGCCTGCTGTGAATGCAATTGAGCGAAAGATGCTTTTACAACACTGACTTGCAGACAGATGAGCGCTTTGATATGGTTTGATTGTCAATCAATTTTATGCCTATATAGATTGAACTATATATATATAATACAATATAATATATATATGTATATATATATATACAAAAATAAATATTTTTTACTGTCTGTGTTTCCGTTTCTCGTTTATAGTTCGATCCTTGACCCACGGTACAATATTTCTTTTTCTTTTCATCAAATATAGTTCTATAAGTAAATAATAATAATAGTGTTCGGGGTTTGCTGTGGCCTAAAGTAAATCCTAGCCTGAACCAACTTGATTTCAACTAGCCTGCAGCCCGCTTTTAGTCAAAGGTTACCTGACTCTTGCGCCCTCTTTCGCTCTATCTCCCCCCATGGCAATCTAGCATGCATAGCCACACATGCAACTGTCCTCAAATGCATTGCATAATTCAGTGGCATTATAAAAGTTGCAGAAATTGCTTATAAAGCGCTGTAAAATGTCATTAATCATTTAATTGTTTTTAGACTTTTGCACCTGGCCAATTTCACAGGCAAAACAAACAACAATAAAAAAAGGAATACAGAACAACAACAGCAACTGGCCAAAACTGTTGTAATAAGTGTGTGTGTGAGTGTGTGTGTGTTTGCTTGCAGCTGCCATAATTGTATGCGTACACAATATTTATTATTTATGGCAACAACGGGCCGTCTGTACAGGCAGGCAGGCAGTGCGGGACATGTCCTGGCATTGTCCTTGCATCCACTGATAATGCGACGCGTTATAACTTTTAATTTTAATTTAAAATTCAGTTTCGAACAGCAGCCACCCCTTCAACCCTTCAGCCCTTCCTCCGTTGCCCTCTCCCTGGCGCTGTCTCCCTTCACCACTTCACCACTTCGTCTGTGTTTATACGCGAAATGAGTTTTAAATTAATGTGATTTTGTTATTTATGAGCAACGCGGCGTATACGCAACTTAAAGCCACAAAACGAAGAGACATTTGGGCCAGTGCGTTCCACAGTTGCAAATTGCACAAACAAATCAGCAACAGGCAAACAAAATACAGCAACAACCAGAGCAGCACACGCATTACAAATTTAAATGTTGTGCGTTGCACACACTAATACGCACACTCGCACACACACATTTGCGCCTTGCACTCATTAAATATGCAATAAATTTACCCAGAGTGGAATTGACAACCCCCCGCACACACACACAGACACACCTGTCTGCCTACCCTCAACCCCTTTGGGCTCATTTGAAATTCTAATTGTTTTCCAAATTCATCAATCGCTTTTAGGTTCGTAGCCCATCCTTAGCCCTGTGGCTCCCCCGCTACCGCGCTCTCCCCTTTGCTGTCTGCAATTGATTTAAATGTATGTCGTTGGCTTTGCTTTGCCTTTGGCTTGCTTTTCATTTTGCATATCCATTGAAATTGATAATAAATTGTAGCTGTCAATAATTTTAATACCATGTGTCTATCACGCTGTAATCCACACGCCTACACACCTACCCCCCGTTTGCACGACGGCCACTATCAAAAAGTTGATTGTGCCCTGTGATTGATACCTATGATTGATTTTGCGCTGAAATATTGCAACTTGCGCCACAGTTGACACCATTTTTGGCGAATAAAAAAAATATTAATAAAAAATGTAGCTTCAAAAAATATTGATTGGTTTTTTTTATCTGTGGGATATGCTGAATGTATTTGTTATTTATAAACTTTTTCTCCAAGGGGAAGTCCCTTTTTTGATTTGGGTAACCTTAGCATACAATTTCCCTTTCTATTAAACATGGGAGCTAAAGACATTTTTGCATTAACTATTAATTGTAGAAATTTTCTCAGAAACTATGCAACCCAAGCAATTGAAATTTTTTCTATTTTCTTCTGGGGAAAATACTTCACCTCAAGGAAAATTCAGGAAAATTGAAGAATTTTCAATAAAATTAATAAAGGCAAATGAGAGGCAAATAAAATAAAACCAAAAACTGAAAATTGTCTGAAATAATTACAAAAACAACAGCTTCTACTCTGGGGAGCTTTAACGAAAAGGAAAACAAGATATTATTAAAATGGAAAACTACATTCAATAACAGTTTCCAATAAATATTTGGCTTTGTGTGCTCTGCAATAAATCAATTCCCATTTGAAATGAATCAATTGAGGTTTTTTTTAATATGCCCTAAAATGCCTATTTTCAAATTCAACGGGCCTATAAATATTATCATACAGAAAAAATTCGCTTAGCTTAATCAGCAATTTTGTAACATATTTGCCAAAAACTGTAGCATAATATCAGGCATTTGTAGGCATATCTGCGGCGTCATGTCACGCATTGATGGCCCCAACGGATGGGGGCAGCGTTTTGATATGCGTGCCACATGCAGCAGCAGCAGCAGCAGCAGAGGGGGCAGCAACAGCGACCCGTGTACGAGTATGACATGACAGTAAAGTCTCAAGCGACAGAACCTTAATCACAGAGCGAATGGCAAGTGAATACCGGGTGAATAGCGCGTGAATACAATACGAATACAAACTGAATGCTTAACTGCAGTCGCTGCTGCTGCTGCTGCTGCTGCTGCTGCTGCTGCTGCTGCTGATGGACACGCCCCGTCGATAAGGGCCGATAATAAATCAAGCGCCGCTGCCGGACATTTCCGCTTCCGTTGCGCTTTGTCATGTTTAAGGAAAGAGGGTGAGAGGGTCGGGGTCAGGGTGGGGGTTGGGGGTTGGGGAGTTGTGCTTTGTGCAACTTCAAAAGCAAAGTCAACATTTAGCGGCCCATTTGACGCAATCAATGTTGTTGCCACAGCTGCTCCTTAAACAAGTAAATCAGCGAGCAGCCAAGCAGTAAAATTTGATGAAGTCTACACACACACAAATACACATACAGACTCGCACGTTCGCGCATTAGCATTTGGTCTGTGTGTGTGAGTGTGTGTGAGTGTGTGCGGTGTGTGCGTGTGGGGTTCAGTCGTAAAGGCAAAAGCCAAATCTCTTATTTATAATCACTTAGATCGGACTAGCAAATCGCTTGGAATAGCACAAAAAGCGGCTAAGTCTGGAAGAAAGACGCACAAAACACACAGTATTAATACCCTCGAAATAGTAAATGTGCGAGAGGGATATGAATGGAGATGTATGCTTCAGGTAGCCAAATGTAGGCCTAAGTTTTTTATAGCCATCAATTGACGAGATATCCTTCCCTTATTCTATTTTCTTTACATCGTTCATTTGAGCTTTCTGCAGGAACTCGGGATCTATAAAGGCAACAGTTAGAAAATTTGGTATGCTTGATAACTACAATCAATGTTACAATTGTAACCACATCAAACAAGATTTGAGCAACTGTTTAAGCTTATCTTCATGTTCTGTACCCTACCGAGCACATTTGAGGAGGATTTCTAATCTAGCTCTTGTGTGATTTGTGTAAACATTTTACAGGATATCTTACAGTCGCAAGCTTTGTATTTTGTACTTAAATTTCCTGGCCTTCAGTAGAGGCTGTTGTATGTTGTTGCTTTGCCGTGGGCGTGTCCAGTGTTGGGTGGAAAATTATATGGCACTTTAATTTGCGTGCGGCCCGCTTTGTGCCAGGGCGAACTTAATGATGCGTATACGCAACGTTGACCCAGGCGACAGCAGGACGAATGCGCTGCATATCAAATTAATGGAGCTTAAGGAAGCGTGAAAATAAAAATCAAGAAACAAGTAGGCGACGCCAGTTGTTGCTGACTTTGGCACAATAATTAAAACCGATGCGGCCCCAAAAAGTATGCAACGTCAGCGTGTAAGAAGACCGCGCAGCAAAGGACCTTGTGCTGAAGGGGCAGATAAAAAAGGAAGAAAGGCAAATAAATGGCATTAAGCGCTTAACGTTGTCTTCAGAAATGTCTTTGCCACACTTTGCACAACTCGGCTGCAACTTTATGCAATTATGTTAATAACAATGAGAAGAGGCAGTCCCCAGCCCCAGCTTCAGCTGCAGCCCTTAGTTAGGGCTAGGCGGCAGCTAGCTAAAAGAATGTTGCGCAAACTTTTTAGGCGTCTTTATGGCAGACGCCGTTTGCAAGTGGGGTGGCAACATAAAAGTCCGCGCCGTGAGCAGCAATTGCAGCCAAAGGGGGGCTTCCAGTTTGAGTTTGGGGTAGTTTGTTTTAGGTCGCTTACACTTAATGAAATAATTGCCAGACAGAAAGGCATTTGCGCTGCAAAAACTTTGAGCACATAATTTAATAAGTAAACGTTACAGCAAACGTTTGTGCAACATACATTCCACATTGCAATGTGGCATGCGGCACAATGAATATGTGTGCATATATAACATAAATATATATTCAATTTTTGCAGCATTTTCTCGCGTACAAATTTTGCACATTTTCTTTGGGCATTTCTTGGCCGGGCTCAGTCTTAATTGCCGCATAAACTTGGCCTTATTGGCGCAAGTCCGATAAGACTTGAGCTTGTAATAGAGCAGATAGCTAAAGGGTTCCAGATGCCTAATAAATTCCAGAAATTCTGCTGGACAAAGAAGGGCAGAGTGTGGGGGAGAGGCGGACGGGCGTCTCAAGTGGGTTTGGTTTACATATGCATTACATGTGTAATTTGTGCTGAGTATGTAACGAAATTAGAACTTTTGCTGCAGCTCAGACTTGGCAAAAACTTGTGAAAATCTCAAGGAAATGAACTGCCAGAAATAGTGTGGGTCGAGGGCGTGGGTGGTGTGGATGGGCTTTGCTTCTCGTTGCAGACTGTTAGCAAGTTGAGTCTATGGCGCAGATTAACTTGTAGCAGCGGCAAGAACAAACATGCCATGCACTGCGAGCATGCCAGAGTGGAAAAGTGTGGGAGAGGGAGGAAGGACGTGTGCGGGGGTTGGCCCAAAAATGCAGTTGAAGAAATTGAAAAAGTTTCCTTTTCTTTTTTAGCTGTCTTTTCTATCTTTCCTTTTTTGAATGCAAAGTTCATGCGAGTTGTCGGTCTGTCCGACTGTCTGTCTGACAGACTATGGCCCTTGCAAGCTCCGGCAGTGTGTGAGTGTTTGAGTGTGTGCTGTGTGTATGTGTTTACTCTGTGTGTGTGGGTGCAGTGAAGCATGCGCTAGCGCAGCTGCAAAAGAGATGTCTAAAAAAGCGCTAAAGTGCAAACACAACACACACACCGTGCACACACCTCACACACACACACAGTAGCTGGCGTTACATATGTACTTTGCTACAATGCACAAGTGCCACGCCCACTGGCAAACATGTGTTGCTCAACGCCTCGTCCTGTAGCTGGCTCTTAAATTACACAAACTTGACTGCTATAAAATTCAAATTAACTCCTCGCTGACGCTGTGTGTGTGCGGGTGTGTGTTTGACTCTGTATGTGTGTGTCTTACGCTCTTATATGAAAAATGAAAACAAATCTTAATTAAAAATTATTGTTGACATTTCTTGCGCTTCTCTGCACTTTTTTACCCTTTTCATTTTGGTTTTTCCTATTTTCTTTCTTCTGGCTGGGGCCACACGGCGTATGCGAAATTCACATGAGCGCGCAGCCAGACAATTAAAATTGTTGGCACTTTCAACAAGTGTCTGAAATTTGTTTTTTTTTTATGTCCACGAAAAGGATTATTTGAGTAAATTAAGAAGTTTGATTAACACGTTTCACGGGCTGCCTTTTTAAATTTTAACTTTTGGAAGATTAAGAATCGAAGAAAATTTAAAGAAATAATTTGCTGACCTAAAAGGCAAGCTGAGTTGTCAGTGAAACTTTTAAGAATGTTGGGACTGGCATAAAGAAAGGACAGAAAGAGAGAGAGAGAGAGGGAGATATAAAGGTTAACGAAAGAAACAGAGTTGGATCTAACAGGCGAATTTACTTTAATAATCAGTTAAGCTTCCAGGAACTTTAGCAAAAATGTGAAAGTGAAAGAGACAGCTGTATAAATTCGTTATCAATAGGTATTTTTGGAGAATTTTGGTATGTTAAGACTTACAAATAGTATTGAATAGTATTATGTTAGTGTTGAACTTTTAAATGCCAATAATGTTTAACATATTCACAATCAGGAATCATTCTAATATAAGGAAACAATCGTTTGCTTTCATAGTTCACTTAAATATTTGATCAAAACTTGAGTTTCCTTTTAATGACAAAAACTTAATTAATAATTTCCTGCGCCAGCCACAACTAACCTCAAGCTGCGCGCAAATTAGTTTAATCTTTTACGTTATATATCGCTAAGCAGCACATTAACAACAGACTTGATGAGGCGCACGAATTTATCGACTTCATTTTGGGCCCATAACTTGCACACGCAAGCGGCAAAAAGAGTGGCCCGCAGATTTAGAAGGCAGACCCCGATCCCCACCCTGCCAGCTATAGCAAACACGTGCCGCATTAAGAGGCAAGTTATCGATTTGCTTGAATTGCGACGCTGCGCGCATTGCTCTGCTTAAGCCACGCTTTAATAAAGACACACCGCCCCCACCGCCCACTGACTCGCGCCTTTCTCCCCAGGCGGGCAGCCATTTTGTAAACCTAGAGCTTTAAGCCGTAAGCAGCGAGCAGTGTTGGAAAGTTTTCTGAAAGTTTCATTTTAACTTTGTTACGCAGTTTTTGTTTCGTTTTTTTTTTTTTTGCTGCTGTTGCTGTTCACTTTTTATGCGATATTAAGAACGCTGTTAACCCCTTGTTGCCGGAATGACTACAACGACCTATTTTAAACTCTGTCTCAAGTTTGGCCAAGCACACACGCGCACACACACACCCGCACACACGCACACTTGCGGGCTCATTGCATGCAAATAAACATTCAATATACAATGGCGTAAGGACACTGCAACATGTCGCAGGATAAAGTTTTTTTCTTGTGTTCTTTTTGGTGCTGTTGCTGCTTTTGTCTCTATGTTGTGGGGCAAGAGCCCAGTCAACCCACTTTCAATTGGTTTCTATCAGTGCATTTTGATTTTGTTCTTGAACGAGTTGCTCAATTGTTTGGCCATGTTGCAAGTAGTTGCGACTAGTTTACTTTTATTGCATTGTCGTGCGGTTGCAAGTCGCCAAAAAGTATGCTTTTAATTTGCCAAGTTGCATGTGCGGCAGCAGTTGCCAAAAACTTCCAAGTGCCACACAGAGCAGAGAGAGAGAGAGAGAGAGAGAGAGGGAGCGAGAGAAAGGGAGCGAAAACGAGAACTTGCAGCTGATTAGAGCTTCTGGAAGTATGCCACTTGCCACACCTGCCGCGTGTCTAATGCGAATTTTGTGTGTGTGCCACAATTTACAGTTAACAGCTACTGCGGCCAATTAAAACATGGCTAAAAAGCGCTTATCTGGCCAATTAGTGGCAAATCATGCCACAGCTTAGAGCTACCCTCACTCCCCTCTCTAGCCCACGCTATAAACTGCTAGTTGAATGTGCTCGCTCGCCTTTTTTTTTGTCTTAACTAAAGTTTCGCACGTTGCGCACACATAAAAATTCTGTGCAAACAACAACAATGCGACACTTGTCATAAAAAGCAAATTATATGGAAAATTTTTAAGACGCGCACGCATCGGGCAATTAGTTTCGGTAATTTGAAGTAAAACTAATTAAATTTAATTGCGACCACTTCGCCAAAGGCATTTAACTAAAGAAACTTTTCAACAAAAATAATAAATAAAAAATTTAATACTGTTATAAAAATGCTAGTAACCGGGCATCTGTCAAGGCTAATATACCCGGACACGATTAACAAGTTTTCAATATGGAATTACATTTATGTTATTTTGTTATAATAATTTTAATATTAATATTAAATTGATACATTATGTACTAGTCCGACTTTGATAAAAGTACTAACTAACTAACAACCATGTTGTATAGCTCGTGATTATAGTTAAGAAATATACAACTTTATTTTTGTAATTAATTTACAATCTATCTGAAAAGATCGAAGCCAACTGAGCAATTGGACTCTATAGATCTTGCCTGATCAGAATATATACGTTTCTTAATGTCTTCTATAATCCTAAGATCAAGTTCTAGGCTTTAAACGAAATGTGAGAAACTGAGAAACTGGACTCCATAGATCTTGCCTGATCAGAATATACACGTTTCTTAATGTCTTCTACAATCCTAAGATCAAGTTCTAGGCTTTAAACGAAATATTTATGTCTACAGTGTAGTTAATCAATTTTAAAAATAATTACAAGCTTCAAACTTACCTGAATTGTTAACAGTGCTCTCTACTGCATGCCTGTAAAAGTCAGAAATTAGATTAATTTAGATAGCTTAAAGAGTCGCATTATTAAATGTTATTATGGGCCCTATCATTTGCATAATATACGTGCATATTTATAAATCCAAAATGCTGATGGCTTTTCGTAGCTGCCACAAAACAAGTTGCAAAATGTGAAAAATGTACAATTTCTGTTGCTGCTGCTGTTTTCCACCTTATTGGCTTTCGAGTGGGCTTAGTTGGAAAAGTTATTCTTTTTATTTTCTGCTGCTACTGCTTCGTCTTGCTATTCAGGAGTCTAACTGTAGCCAAAGCTCGTATAATGCCATGTCATGCCACGCCATAGGCGTTGCGCTGCGACCTTCGCCGAGCCGCTGTCTCTTTCTGTGTGTGTGTGTGTGAGAAACTGTGCACCTTGCAACAGCAAATAGAAAGAGACAGAGCTAGCAAGAGCTAGCAAAAGCTAACTAGAGGAGGGCCACATCAAAAGCCCTGAAACCATTCAACGCTCCAACCCGTCGGCTTCCTTCCTGCATAGAAATTGAGCACAAGACAGCGAGGCGAAATTTTTATGCAATTTTGCCACGGCAAATGCCAAGGAAAATTGCGGCGACAGCGGCTTAAAATTTAAATCGCTCCACAAATCGAAATTGAAAAACTGTCCGACTAGTAACTCGGCCCACTTCCTCACGCTGCGAACGGCCTATCCAATCAATACGTAGCAATTTGCATAATGAAATCTACAATATATTAAAATACTTACTTGCCATATTGCAAAATGGTAAAAATTCGCTAGATTTATCAAATTTGCATGGCGATATTTGTGGCTTGATATGGACTTTTTGGAATTTTAGCAAGTATTAAGCTTTTGAGATATTTTCTTTAAATCTGCTAATAGGAAAACTATTCCCTTAAGGAGTTACATTCTGGACAGAATCTCTAAAATTAATATTTATTTGTCGCTACGCTTGCCTGATCAGAATAAATTTGATAAAGTTGATCAATCTATATGTCAAAATAGATTTACAATACTTTGTATATTTCAATATAAATTTCAAACTTTTTTAACAAAACTAAAAGTTAGCTGATATTTGGATGGATCAGGACCAAAATGTAAGTTGGAATATTTTGTAGATTTTTTAAAATGTATTTTGAAATGGCATGGATTCAGATATAGCATAGAGCTTTATGATATTTAAATTGAAATGCCTTTCCTTTTCGAAATGGTTTTCAAGGACTTAGCATGAATATAATCAAATTTGCTTGCAACACGCTGCGTTCCATGATGCCACCCGCACCTCTTCTCAATTGCAATTGCAGCTGCACAATTTTTTTCTCATTCTTTTTTTTTTGTCATTTTGGGACTGTAACCAAATTGATGGCAGCTTCTGCGGGCCGTGTCAATTTGAGCGCATTTTGTTGCTTGATTTGCGCGCGTGGCTCGAATTTTGCATAACAATTGCAAAAGGGCGAAAATGCGGGGCCGCCCTCTCTGACAGCATTTGGGGGCACAATTGATTTAAATGTTTGCGCACATGTTTTCAGACAGCAGCGTGCCACAGAAAAAAAAAATTGATGGAGAAATAAAAATGGCGCCTCAGCGAGAAAACCCCAAAAGCGCGAGCTGTGCACAGAAATTGCAACAAACGAAAAGAATTCATGTAATAATATGCAAAGCGGGCAGCAAGGCATCGGTGGAGCAGGCGGAGGGTTGGTGTTGGGGTTGGCAGGCGACAAGCTGCAGAGGCATCGATGTGTATGCGACTGAAAGAGGCGATTGGGTGGGGGCGTGGCTGCTTGCAATTGTCGCAGCATGTCGCGCTGCGCTGGGCGGGCGTCAACAACATTTTTCCAACTCAATTACCAGGCAGCTGCGACGTGTGCAACGTGTGCAACATAAAAAGCAAATCTCAAGCGGCAAAGCGGCAACAGAAGCTGCTGCAAATAAACTCAAATATTGACAGGCGCATTAGAGAGCGAGAGGCTGCTGCGCAAGTGTTGTAGTTTTGGCTACTTTAAGCGGCAGCTAAGGAATTTAAGGCGCGCAACTCAAGCTGTGGCTGCAGGCAATGTGGCACGTGCAATGTGGCAGCTGCTGCAGCTATTTATATTTGCCTGCCACAAACAGACAGACGGCACGACAGGCAGCACCTACACACGCACACACAAACACACTTGCACACAACAACAGCTCACACTAATAAATAAACACAGCAACTGTCAGTCAGCAGCCGAAGAGATGAGGCAGCATTTTTTCAGGGATCCGCCTGCAACTGCAAAGTTCTGTCAGTGGCTAATCACTCATATAAATAAACCCTAGCTGAGACTGCTGCCAGGTGTTTGTATGTGTGTGCGTGTGTCTGAGTGTGTGCATTTTTGCAGGTGACTGCCAACAATGCGGCGCTCATTTGTTGTTGGTTTCTGCTGCTGCTGCATGTTTGGCATATGTAAATTATGCCAGTGCCAAGTCAGCCACTTAACTTACAACCAGCCCCCTCTGGCACATGCATTCACCTACCCCTGCGTTCCCTTTATGCCCTGTGTCAGTCATTCAACCAGCTTGAAAATTTGCCGCTCACCCATCAACGTCAGCGCGCAGGCAACTTGCACTGTCTGCAGCTCTTGCTGAATGCAAAAGTCAACTTTTTGGCTCCAAACTGTCTCTAGCTCGTACAGTCTCTCTCTGCCTCTCTCTCTCTCTCTCTCTCTCTACCTGTCTCTCTCTCTCTCTCTTATATACTATCATACAATCGTTATCTCTTTCTCGTTTTTTTGGGCATTGAGTGTTTGCACTTTATATACCCTGTTCACATTAAGTGCTTTAAAAGGGCTTTATATATTTAAACAAATTTCAGCTTTATACATCAGAGGATCTTTAAGAGAAGGAATTGTCATATTTTGTCTATGGATTCTTTATTTATCTGTTAGGATCTTCAAAAGCTTAAGTACGCAAATTCGGCATGCAATTACATTTATTAATTGCTTATTAATTTGGCAAACTAATTATAACTTTAATTTGCCGTGTGGAGTTTTGATCAACATAAATTTTAGTATCTAGAAAAGTTAGCTACTGAAAATATTGATATGTATTTTTAAAGTTTTCATTTTTAAACTATTCTTTGATTCGGAATGGGATGCATATAAAAGACATATATTTAAGAAACTATTGAATATGATAGACATTTAAGTAACTTTATTAAAATGTAACCCTTTTTATATGTATATCAAGAATCTTTCGAAACGCGTAAAACAAAAAGAAAAGCTAACGCAACAGAAATGTAGACTATTTTACATGGTATCTCATAGTCTTTCAGCCCAACTGCGTGCCTGTATTTGCTGTCGTTGTTGTTGTTGTTTGTTGCTGTTGCTGCACTCGAGTGAGCAAATACTTTATTAAAACTCTGTTTGGGCGCCGCCAAGCAAAATGTAAATCATTCATGTGCCACAGCAGCAACAACAGCAGCAACGGTAGCAGCGGCAGATGTGTGTGGGCGGTGTGCCGAGGTGGGGGCGTGGCTAATGAGCAGCTCTTGTGCACTTGTTTTAATTTCGGTTTATGGCTCAAGTGTTTGGCTTGAGCAGTAAGCCAAATATATGCCAACTGAAGCAAACAAACAGGCAAGCAAAACAAAACGCAGAGACAACGTGGCGTATGCGCAATATTTGCCAAAGTCAAGCAGCGTAAGATGAGAAATGGGATATAGTTGGCTGAAGACTGGTAATTGATATGAGGACTAATAGTATTACGAGCATGTATAGTCGGTTGTTTGTCAAGACAGAGCAGCGCCCGAGGCGGCTACTTGAGTGGCTTTGGCTGGCAAATTGCTTGCATCAGCTGTAAAATTCTCAGCGCAAAGGACATTGGAGAGGACATTCGCAACGGGACAGGGGTTGCTATGGCTGCTCAGCCGAGTGCCGACTCGAGTGTTACCTCTTTTTGGCCTTTGTTCTACCGACACCTTGACAAAAACAAACCAAAAGAGTTTGGCTGTCAAAAGCAGCTGCTGGCCCCCCTTTTATTGACATCTATAAAATTTGATACTCGCGCCTGTGAATGTGTTATACAAAGCTTTGAATCACGTCATTCGAATGTCAATATTTTTTTTCGTTTGGAATCATTCACTTGCTTTCAGCGTCAGTCAATTTGTAGCTTAAAACTTCTTAATGCTTAGATAGAGAGTGCTGGACTAGCAGTTACCCCGTACTAAGTTGTCAACGCAAAAATCAAATGTGATAAATATGATCATAAAATTGTGCTGTGACAAAACTAATCCTATCCTTTAAACATTTATGATCTGTCTAATATAGATGTGCAGCCAAATTTGCTTAGCCTAGCGTGAATACATCCTGAGTTCATTGGGTTCATGCAGTTGGGATTGGCTGGGATGCAGGCCTAACTCATACTTTTCACTTTTTGACTAACTTTTGATTGAAAGCATATTAAAATAGTAAATAAATCTCTTTAAAAAATTCCAGCAGATGACTTACACCCATATCTAAAATGCTTTCAAGGCAAATAAATATCCTAAAGTCTTGTTAGGTTGAATATTTTATAGGCAAAAAACTTGTGCTAATTATAATCTACCTTATTAATATATCAAGCTACCGAATTGCCCAACTCTAGCTGTTGAATATCCTGGGATACCTCTTTCTTTTCGTCACAAAAGCTCAAGCACCCACAGCACTCCTCTGTTGGCCATTTTATCATTAACAGGGCATTTAAATATAGACAAAAGACTTCTTATCTATTCATGTTGCCTGACTTGTCCGGTCTGTCTGCCCGTCTGATTGCTCCGTCTAATTTCTGAGTGCCTGTATCTCTGCTATTGAGCTCTATTCCTCTATCGGCTTGTCTATCTGGCTCTCCTGTCTGTCGCGGCACGCCTCCATGCCGCCCGTCGCCCACGCTCAACTTTTATTTTATGCCTTGCAGTCATGTGTCAAACTCTTGATGTCAACTTCTGACATAATATTGACAGCTAAACAAATCCAATTATGCCCAACTCCTGCAGCGAGGCAACACGAACCGAGTACCGAGTCGTCGGCCGAGAGAGAAGGCTGGAGATTGAGAGGGTGAGAGAGGGAGAGCTTTTCAGCTTCTAACTTTCGGAATATGCTAAATGTTGACCATATTTGCTTTATGCATACACATGTGTGTGTGCGTGTGTGAGTGTGTGTGTTTGAGTGTGCGTTGAAGCGCTTTAAACGTTTTCCCACTGCTGACCAGACCAGAAGAGCAACTGCTACGATATTTCAATATTCCGATAGGCTGCCTGCTGATTGTTGTTGTTCTCGTTGTTGTTGCTGCTGCTGTTGTGGCGCCAGTAAATTGCGTAGGTGTGCAATTGAATTATTGCAGTCAATGCACACATTCACACTGCCCCAAACAAACAAACCCCCCAACAACCCCTGCTGCCGCCTCGGACCGACCACTGCCGCCTGCTATCATAAATATGAAATTTTGAGCCTACGTAGTAATGCAGGCGCACAGGCTGCATATTATCCACAGCTTCGCCAGCGTTCGCCATGCCCCTCCAGTTACCACCCTTCAGCCAGCTTACAGGGCAGCCTTGGCCATGCCCACACGCCCATGTTGCCTGCTGTGTTGGCTCAACTCTCAGGGCTGCGGCAACAACCATTTTACGGTTTATTTTTGGGGCATTGAATGCAAATATTGGCATAAATTTTGGCTGTTGCGGTTGGCAGCAAGTCTCTGTGTGTGTGTGTGTGTGTGTGTGTGTGTGTGTGTGTGTGTGTGTTGCACAGCTTCTGCTTCAGCTTGACTGTGGCCAAATTTCATTTGGCTTTTGCAACACACACACTCACACACACTAACACAATCTCGCATACACACTCTCGCCTGGCTGCATTGTTTGCCATCTGTCAGAATGTACTTGGATTTTCGCTTTTGGATTTTGAATTTGGGAATTTGAAATTTCAACCTCGTTGTCGGCCAGCAAATTGTTGGCACAAGTGCGTTTTGTGTTAACCAATTTGATCAAAAACAACAACAACATAAACTTTGACACAAGTTGAGGTCAAAGGGGAGGCTAAACTGGTTCAATTCAGGAAGTCTTAAACGAAGCGAGAGTTTGGAATTATGGAGGGCTATCCGCCAGGTTGGAAGTTAAGAAAGCAGCTTTATTAATAAGAAAAGTTGATTCAACTTTTTTTTCAGAGTTTTAAAGTTGATGAGAACTTAAAAATAATTGTGCATAAAAGAGTTTAAATAGGAAAAAAGTTAAAGTATAGGACTAGAGATTCCGTAAAACTTCTCCAAGGTGAAAAACTAGTAAAAAAAAAATTGCTCTCAGGTTTTCGCACTCTAAAAACAGCTAGAAAAGTTGATTTACTTAGAGATTACAAAACTGTAAACGAAAGGCAGTGCCCTTTAAACTGATATCTTTGACGATGTGGTGGGGCTTAAAAGAAGGTCATCAGTAAGCAGTAATAAATATATATTCCAAGTCCATATACTCTGTTTCAGTTTGCGAATAAAGTAACTGGTTATGTCTATGCCAAACATCATCTTAGAGACTGCAGGTTTTGGAAAATATGAATGTATTCATCAAGAACATATCCCTTTGAATTCATGTCGAATTGTCGCAGATATAAAGATTGTTAAATTTTAGAATGTCTTCTTATACCTAAAGATTCAACCAAAAATACATATCTCAATGCTAAAGCTGACAATAATTAAAATAATGTTGAACTTTAAGTGGCTGTCTCTCTACAGGCCAAGCCCTATTGCCACCTCAGCTGAAGGCCTAGCACGTGCTGGTGATTTATGTGTTTGTTTTTGGTTTCGGCTGCCAAGCGGCACATTTATCAGTCCCAACCAAATGCGAAACAACAAAACGCACAACAAAGAAAGTGACAACAACACCAACAATAAATGACAGATCAGCTTTTGAACTCGCACCCAGTCTAAAGCAGCCAGGCCCTAAGTTGCCGTCGAGTTTATTTAGGCAGCCGCAACTATTTGAATTTCACTCAGAAAGCACTCAAGAGTTCGCTGCCAATTGGAATTCAATACGTTGGTATTTCGAAACGTTTCGGTTCAAAGTTCAATTAAGTGAACATTTGTGCGGATGGAGAGAGAGAGTGAGAGGGGGGGGCAGTCATTGTTAAGCCTTTGATTGCTATTTAGGGCAAACATATAAATTTGCACAGGCCGGGCAACGCCCAAAAGGTTGACCCTTACCCTTTGGTTGCTGCGCCTGCTGCTGACCCAAATCAATAAATTAAACGCGCTTTTAAAGTTCTTGCCGCCAGTTTTTCTCTCCGCCCGCCATCTCCCAGTGCTCTTCAAATTTTGGCCGAGCCGTAAATCGTTTGCACGGGAAATTGGCAAAAACATCAAAAAACTTTTGTTGGCCCGCTAACTATGCTACGGCAAATGTTGGCCAGTGCCTAAAACTATGCTAATTTCCGACTTTTTTTGTTGGTTTGCTTTTGTTTCAATGTTGTCCTTGCTCGTACACATGTCCTTGCTGTCTACAGTCCTAAGCAAACCAATTTGTTGTTTGCCTTTGTGTGTGCGTGCGTCTCGAAAATTCTATTAAAATGGCATAAATTACAAACCTGATTTACAGCTGAGTGGGTGAGGGTCTGAGGGGGCGCGACTGTCTATGGAAGGGGGGAGCCTGGGGTAGGTGACAACGCATTTAAATACATTTTAATTAGCTGCCAAGGCAATTGGCAGCCTCCCCCAGCCAAGTACTGGCTTGTCGGCTCAATGGTGCTTTTGATTTTCGCCTCAAAGTGTGCTAAAGTTTTTTTTTTCTCTTTCGTTTCCGTTTTCCGTTCATTTTCCGCTTTTCATTTGCACAAAAGCTACTTAGACACGATTTTCTGTGGCCCAACAACAATGCTCATTGAGCAGGCACTGGGCATTGGGCTTTTGGGCCTTGCTAAAATAATGAAAAGCATTCGGCTGTGATGTTTAGTTGCAAAACAATTAAGCTGAAAGCAAAGCTGTGTAGTGAAGTGTGTGGTGGTGAGTGTGTTGTGTGTGTGTGTGTGTGTGTGTCTGGAGGGTGGTTCGTGAGAAATGAGATGAAATGAAATCACATTGAAGAAGATCAGGCCAAAGTCATGCAGCTGAAAATAAACGACTGCAAAATGCTCTGCGGCATTAAGCAAGCGCTAAAACATTTCAATCATACATCAATATGTATTTAAATAATCAACGCAGATTTGTGGGCATCAATTCATATTCATAATGATGTTTTTTTAGCGTGATTTTAAGCCAAGCCAGGCGTGGGCACATTTTATGATGATTTTCATCATACATGATGTATTCAAAAGCCTTTACAGACGTTTAAGCAAGTCTTTAATAGATTTTTGTTAGAATAACTCATACATCAAGTTGTAATTAAAAAAAAAATCGTGAGATTACTCTACTCAAGTCCAAGACCGGTTGTAAATGTAGACTGAAGCTCTCCCTACAAGAGTTTAGCTGGAGTAGCCCATCTATCAAGCTGTAAATCAAGAGAGAATCATGCGATGACTCTCGTCTAGTCTAGGATCTATTTGCATTACAGACTAGGCCTAGAAGGGCAAAACAGGATAACTTTAGTTACCAAACTATAAAGATGAGTAAAAGTGTTTTCACCCAAAAAAGTGCCTTAGAAGAAAGTCTACTTTAAAATCAGTTAAAAATATATAAATATAATCATAATTTTGCTTTATAGCCGCCTTCTGCCTTTGCCTGGTTCTTACATACTTTTGCAATAGCTTATATAGGCATAATAAATATTTGTTATATTTAAAAATCTTAAGCACAGAGAAGCCAACCAAATAATAAAGATCTGGCTACCTTAATCAATGAGGTCAATGAGGCTTAAAGGTTTATTTATACAAAACACTTTCTGGCAATTGAAACTTGCCTGTCTCGCACCGCCGCTCAAGCTGAATATGCTTTGCATAGGGTATAGAAAGCGTAAATGTTTCGTCATTGACAAATGTCGAGTGCGTTGGAGCGATGTTACGACATTAGCATTAATAGTGTGGCATTAATTTCAGGGCGCAATATATGTATACAAATTTATATATATAGCATGCTTTTAGGGGCCCAATTATGGCCACGCACCTCCGTCAAAGTGTGTGAATGGGCTTTAAGGAGCACATAAACACATTACCACATTGCGCATAGAAGGCACGGCCTGTCAAGTCCTAGGCTCCATGAAATCTACTTGACAACAACTTGAGGTAATGTTTGCATATGCCCGAATCCTAGCTGCAGCCCGCAACGCTCTCAGTTTGCATAAATAATTCATTTGAAAGGACGCTTTTAGGCTCGCAAAACTGTTGTAGACAAAACTGCTTAAATATGCATAATTACCTGAGACATCAGGGCGTAGCCACGCCCAGTTAGCTGCCAGCTGCTGCTGCTGCTCCTCTTCAAGAGACTAGCCAAGTTTGTGGAGTCAAGTCAAGTCAAGCCTGATGTGGCCGTGCCGGAAGTGTGTGCTCCAGAGTGTGCGCATCCCGCCCCAAGCACTTGGCATAAATTGTGCCCTCTGTAAAAGTAAACAAGCAGAAATAGCATAAATAACATTAAGAACCGGGAGAAATGAGTGGAAAAGCACAGATTTTCCTCGCATTTGCACAATTGCCACAAAATTGGCCCCATTAAAATAATAAAAATTGTTTACAAAATATTTAACTAATTGCATGTAGAAGTTGTGTATATTTCTATTCTTTCGGCCAGTAAAAAGCTGTTGAAATATGCTGCTAATGCGACAAGCGCAGCCAAAGAGTCAACAAAAAGCGAACCAATGCGACACGCAACATTGTCATGAGCCATGTCAGAAATGCCGGCACACAGTGTTCCACACAGGTTCCACATTCCGCATCCGCCACATAGCTATAAATATAATTAGAATAATAAAGGAAATATTTACAACAATTGAAAATACCTCGACTCAATTGTGGCACTCAACACGCACGGCCTCAAATTAATAAACTCCAATTGGCAACCCCCCAAGCCCACACATTGTATACCCTCTGCTTTTAGCCTAAGGCTTGCCTGATTGCCGGCGCCGGGGCTTCCTGATGAGCGTGTGAGCTCATAAAGATTTCCTGCCCGCCTGCCTGCCTGCCAGCCTGTAGGCGGTGCGTGTGCCAAATCGACACAAAACACGCTGGAGAGCTGAATGTTTGACTAGCAGATATCCTATAATATTTGTTAACTAAAAATAGCTATTATACATAAATTAACTAATATATTTTTAGCAACTCAAGATCTTTTGCTATATTCCAAAAAGAGTTTACTTAGCCCGATTCTATAAAAAAAATTTTCATTTCACAATTGTTGAATTGAACATTTTTAAGTTTCGCACTTGGCGAGGGCCGTTGGCATATATGCACTAATATGACAACAGATAAAAACTATAAAAATTTATATGCCCAATTTTAAAAGACGAGCTTCTATAGCTTCTAGTTTCATGAGCTTAGCTGAGCATTTAAATAACTTTTAGTTAGTCTAAGTGCTCAGCTTGGCCTTTAATTATTTTTGTAGGGTATCTAAATGAAAGGCGTGTCCCTTTGTCACACTTGCCAGCCCTTTTCTGAAGCTAGTTAATATAACTTTTACGTTTAACTGTGACCGTGACTCGCTAGCTGGTATCTGATTACAGTCGCACGCCATAATGTCATCATAAATTGTAGTTAGCCGGGTTAAGGACCAGTTCAGACAGTGGCTTGATGTGTTCTGTTTCAGCCACTGGCTTTGGGTTGCGGCTTTTTGTGGCACGTTGAAAGCGTGGCGCATAGAGAATTGTGTTTAACAGGCGGCACTTGAGCGAAATGAAATTTATGATTAAACTAAAGCCCTTGCCCCATAGACGCTGTGTTATATAGTCAAAGGTAAGCTGCTCTGCTCCGGCTGTCCAACTGCCCAGGGCCGCATGCTAAAGAGATCTCTGTGTGAGGGGCATGTTGCACGCGCACAATGGCGGCCGTTTACCGCAGGCCAAAATGCCACACTTAAGTGAATTACAAAAGCAGCTTGCTGAGGCAGCTTGTCGAGCTCTATGCAAGGGGGGCCAAAGGGGGCATGCGGCACGCGGCATGTGGCACGCGGGCAGAGTCAGCCAGTCAACGCGTTGACAGCCACAACAAGCGGCTTAATCGCATTAGTGCCCCCCGCTTGCCACCAGGCCCTTGAAGTGCCAACGGACGACCGACAACGATATTCCAAGCGGCAAGTGCGAAAACTGATTGTGTGGCGCCACACAGCAGTCACTGGGCGTAGCGCCTCCCGGTAACAGTCAGCACAGGCGCTAAGCTGCGCATTGTGGGCGCCAACAACGGCGACAACAAACGCAAACGCCACTATTTATATAAAGAAAAGCTAGTCGAGGGCTCACGAGTAAAAGGGCAGAGATGTTGAAACTACAGCTAGCAGGACGTCGTTGTGGTGCCAGGTCGCCTGGGCAATTGCTCTCCCGCACAAAAGTTCAAAGGCGAAATTCACAAAAAAAGCAAACGGCAATGCTTTAGTTCAGAATGCGAAGCTAGCAGTTACCCTGTAATTAGATCTAAGAGGATCTTGATAATATTCTGTTTCAAAGTTTTCTCAATAGCCCTTAAATTTTGTTTTATGATTTCAGCTTATCTAGATTATATACTAAAATACACGAGTAGCAAATTTTGGGAACATTTCTTCATAACTGACGATGTTATATCTGATGAGAGATGGACGGAAACTTGGGAAAAATAAAGGCTAATTTTATATCTCAGCTTTACAAACCAATCAACGGCTTCCTGTTTAAAGACTTTCTTGATTTTTAATACATGTTGATAGCTTGTTAGAATTTCTTGTTAAATATAATACTCTAGTATTATTTTGTTAAAAAGTTGACATCTGCCTCTTATTAAGGCCGAGTTTCGAAGGACTCTACAGGCACTGTAGCTAGTTTTGCTGAACTATCAAGCAAATTTATTGCATTATTTTTATGTTAGCTCAACGCTTACATTTTACTTCCATCCTTTACAAACATTTATACAATTTAATCTAATTTTTGCCCCCCGTTTTATAGCTACAGGGTATACAAATAAAAAGGTAGTATTTATATTACAGAAAAATGCCAAAAAAAAAGGAGAAGAAAAGTACCAAAAAAAAAAGCAATTAATCTACGACACAGCGCACAAGGTTTCGGGCACAAAGGAAGAGGGCAAGGACAGGCGCAACGGCACAGAGACACGAACAGTCGCACAGTCTGGCAACTTTGGTTGTGCTCTCTGCGTATGGAGAGTTAAAAGTGCTTATACCCTGCTTCCTGTCCAGCAAATCCAATAACTTATCTTGATTTTATGGTTATTTCAACAAAGGCCGGAAGTTGTAGGTGCAGCAAAGACGACAGCGCACCCAAAAAAAAGGCAACATAGGGTGGTTACGGGTGGCTGTCAGGGGGGGCTGGATTGCGGGTGGCACTCAAAAACATTGTGTAGTTATCCTGACAACCTTCCTTGACTGCCCCTGCCTACAGTTTGCAGTATGTTTTTGCATTTGACATGCCATTGTGTTTGCCAAAGCGGGCGGGGACTGTTGTGCGGGGCTGGGTGCTGAGCATTCAAGTTTGCTTGTCTGCTGTCCGTTACGGTTGTGTATGTGTGTGTGCGAGTGTGTGTGTGTGTGCAATTGACATATGGTTTCTTTACAGTTTTCGGTTTCTGTCTGTGTGCGCTGTAAATTTTGCATGAAATATTTTATTTGATATGTCCTACATAGAATTGTATAGCCTGACTGCCTGCCACTTGTTTCTATTCCCACAGTTGCTGCAGCTGATGGGCATTTATTGATGCAACTGCCCGCAAGTCCCGCAAACGTCCAGGCAGCCAGAAGTCAAGCAGTTTGTAAGCTGACATTATCAAGATTAATTGAGGTTTCCTTTTGAATATATATATATATATATATATATATATATATATATATATATTTATGCGACAGTTACAAGGCGCTTGACCAGGTGTCTGTGTCTGTGTGTGTGTGTGTGTGTCGGTGCGTGTATGTATTTGCATTTGACATTTATGAGCCGCATAAATCTTGCGACAACAAACAGCATTTTAATGCAACATCAGCTTTTCGACTAATTGATTAACAAGCCGCATCTAACCTCAAACACAAACATAACCACAAACGCACACATAACCTCAATCCCCAGTTTAACTAAACGAGTCGTGTAAAGGGCACAATTTAACAGCTTCTTGTCAACAAAAAAATAAAAAGAAAAAAGAATTTCAATTAATATTTAAATTTTAATAATCAAATCATGTTGCAGCAATTACCAGAAGAAAAAATTGGAAAATTGTGCAAAAAAAGCGCGCCCCAAGCAAAGCATCAAACACAGTCGAGCAAAATACAGACAGACACCATCAAAAGTTGAGCCAGATAATTTTTTGACGCACCCGCAGGAAAACAGCTGCCAAGTGCAGGAGAGAAATAGAATGAAAAAAGTATAGATGGAAAGAGTGGCAAGTGCCGGGGCAGATGGCACAGACAATGATAATGATATTTTCCTTGTTGCTAACACCAGCAGGGGTGCTCAAAATTTATGCAGCAGTGGTTTTTTTTTCGCCATTACATATTCATTAAATTGCAGCATACGGGGCGCAGCCAATCTTGGCGGAATCGGCGAAAAGCTCTCTATAGGCAGCTGAAGTTAAGTATCAATGGCATCTTGCTCGCGCTCTTCTCTCGGAGGCAAGTATCTAGTTTCATCTAATTGGTAATCATCGTAGACACCAGCATCCGCATCGGCATTAGAAATCACAAAGCAAAGTTGAAAACGAGCTCAAAACTCGTTTGTTCGAAAGTAAGGCAAGTTGAAATTGAGGCAATGACGCAATTTAACATTCGCTCAAAGCTTGAAATCATTGCAAAAATACATATATATATATATATATATATATTTGAAAGAAACTCAAATGGAATGACATCAGTGTGCTATAAGACTAAAATATTTTGGTTTGTAAATGCGCATTGCATCATGCGAAGAAAATGCGGTGTCATTGGAATATCAAAGTTTGGCCAAATTTCTTTTCAAATAAATGATATGATCATTAAGAAAACCAACGAAGAAGCTCAACAAAATCAAATAACATAAAAATCTATTTTAAATTGTGTGCAAACAAAAAAATCAAAATCAATGTTGTGAAACGTTTAAATGGTAACATTCTTACATGTGTTGTAAGACAATTAAACTGTAAAATGTTTCGAAATTTGGCAAGATACCATTTTTATAATGTCACGCTCAAAAAGTGTAGTAAAATTCTTGAAACTTTGAAAAATACTATACTATACTATATGTTACTAATTTATTTATTAAACAAAATCAGTGTTGTAAAACGTAAAAAATGTAATGACTACTGAAAGTGTGTTGTAAAATATAAAATAGGGGTAACGACATAATTTCGCTTGTCATAGTTTCGAGTGAAGCGGTTGTAAAATGATGAGATATATGGCAAGCTCCCATTTAGGCCGCGCTCAAAGAGTGTTGTACAATTTTTAAACAAT